ATAGAGAGAGCCCTCTTATGTCAGGAGATGTCTCTCCTGACATAACAGCGCATATCGCTCTTTACATTATGGCAAATATATTTATTCTAAAAAAAATGATTAATAAAAAGTAAAAGCCCATTCATTCTTTATATAAGACATCGCGCCTGATGTATGATAAACTTATATACTTTTATCAATGAAGCGTTCAGTAATTGCATTCTTTTGAAACTTTTCACTTTCCAGTTGATCAGTGGTCGGAAGATGATTTGACTTTGTAATGAATATTTCTCAAATTTTCAACCGGTCATTACCATTCAAAATATGATCGTACTTTTTAACTAAACATATCACCATGGAGGGGTTTTGAAGGAAGAGTATTCGGAAGAAAAAAATAGTATATTCGTAATCAGTGTAATCAATTAGGGTGGGTGTGGGTGTGGGGTGGCGAGTGTGGGTGTTGATATCGCTTATCATGTTATCATCAGCCACACTTACACTCCACACCCACACCCACACCCTAACATCATAAAATTCATTATGTTCTAGTCTATGTATTTTGCACGATAATAGCAATATTGAGGACAACGAACGCACAATATAGCAGAATGATGAGTAGAACGAATTCATTGTGATTCACATTTTAATCTCGTAGGGATTACGCTGAAGGTTTTTGTACTACAAACGAAAGAACAACCTAAAGCACATTTCTCAAATCTAATCGATCTCGTTAAACTGCTCCGCCGCTGCGTTTGAAATCTTCGAGTTTTTTTTTCATATCGTTTCGCGTTCTTGTTCGATTTCATTTCATATACGTTCTCTAGATGAAAGAAAAAGCATTGTCCTCATCTTCGAGTTTTCACAGATTTTTGTTTTCCTCAATGACGTATTGCTTCTCTTCTTTTGCTTGCACTTTCATTTGTTGAACTTCGATCGGATCAATGAGTCTTTTTTTTCTTTCATTTCCCGCCAGAAGGGTGTGGGTGTGATATTTTATTTAAATTTCTGAATCAAACTTAATTTTAACGCCAACATATTTGGGCATAGCAGTCAATCCTGGTAAATGTCCACCAGCATTCACTTCGGAACCACCATCAATGAATGTAACATGTTGCATTAGTCCAGCTACAATAACTTTGAGTTCAAATCGTGCCAAATCTTGTCCAATACATTGTCGACGACCACTACCAAACAGAAGAAATGCATAAGCATTATGATTCTTGTCTTCACCTAAAAATCTTTCTGGATAGAATAATTCCGGATCAATCGACCAATATCGTGGATCTCTTGAAAGAATGCATACTGGAACAAATATTTGATCGCCTTTGTACAATTGAATACCACTCTTTGGTAAACGATCATCCATAGTTAATGTACGACTTACTGTTTCGACAGGTGAAGAAAAACGTAAAATTTCTTTGACAACACAATCTAAATAGATAAGTGAATCAAGACGATCTAATATCAAATCATGATGAACATTTTCCTTGAGCAGTTCTGCCTTAATCTTATGTTGTACTTCCGAATGCTTGCTGAGAAGATGAATCGACCATGCTAAAGCTGTGGATGTTGTTTCAAAACCAGCAATAAGAAACATAAGCATTTCTCCTAATATTTCACGACGTGTTAGACCTGTTAATAAAAATACAAATATTGAAACTCGTTAGATCGAATGTACACAATGAAAATTACGACAA